TAGACCAACTATATGGAAAATAATTATCTCTATTCTGAAAGGGATGAAAGGTATTTTTACTAATCAATGGGTGACTCCACATGTTCTTCCCACCTCTAAACTTGAGGTGGCCTTTAACTTGTTTGCAACTGAACTATGTGGAGATGGAGTATGGATCCTCTTTTCCCCCCATAATGGAAGGCCTAACTCTTGAGAGGCCTCCTGGAAATGCTCAACAACGTGCTGAGAACCTTGTTGTCAGAAATTTGGCTTTGTCACACAGCTACGGTTCTCAGAGTTTTTATTGAGGGAAAACCATGAAAATTAAATCAATTTTTAAAATTTAAAGTGCAGACATGACCTAACTTTACCATATCTCAGTGGTGGAACATGAAGAATAGTCTAACCCTGACCTATAAAGACTTCAGTCAGGGTCCCAAGCATCTTTGTCAAGTCCTCAAATGTTCAAGTCCTGAGGAACTCCTTTCTTCTCATCGCTGCATTTCTTTTGGATTTTTTTTTTTACTTTCTTGAGACACGTATTCATATTTCAAATTCTGTGAGAATGTAAGATTAAGTTACATGTAATGTGCCTGTCATAGAAAACAGATTACATGAACTCGTTTCATGATTTCTATTTTACCTAATTGCTCCTTCTTGATTATATTGAAAAGCAACCTTCAGTAAACAAATCTGATTTACTTGGAATAGTTTACTTCTCCAGATAGAGTCAATTCTTTTATATTATTTGCCATTCTCAACTATTAGGATGCACCAAAGAACACGTATGGTGTCTTCTTGTTAAAAATAGCCACGCACGGGAGTTACTTATATAAAGTGCTGAAATAATATTTTACTTTTCTTACAAGTTACTTTGCCAAATGTTCCCATCTCTCAAAATAGTTTAAATCCAGTGTCACAGTCATGATAGGAATTTGCAAGTAGCATTCCTTTTTTTTTTTTTGGTATGTATGCTTGTATATATGTAGGTCTACTGTAGGTAAACCTATCTTATTTCAAATAAGGCTATCTTGAGTTAAGTTTGATCTCTGGTGACTACAAAGATCTGTCCATGTCATTTTGTTGCCATTGCTTTCTTCAGTCTAGCCTACAACTTTCTTGGTGGCCTCTGGTGCAAATACTAACCAGGCTCAAACCTGCTTAACTTTTTTGAGATCAGCCAGGCTTATTTAGGTGCTGCTAAGAGCTATTATTTGTGGACATTGTACTGAGTAACTTTCCCTAATATTCTCTTTGTCCTCATAAGAAAGAACTATTCATAAGAAATGCATACATTGTTGTGATCTTAATCTTGCAGTAGGAAGATCATGAACATAACTTGTTCTTCATATCCGTTTCACATTTAGATACACGGTCTCCTATTCTTAGAATTTGATCGCTGCCCATGTACTTATTCCAAAACAAATACCTTTATAATATTTTTTTGTGCTTTCACTTTTTTACAAATTGCCCAAAAAAGTACTGATTCAGTATATGAATAACATAGAATTCTCTATGATAAGGCTAGTAAAATAGACATCACAAAGTACAGTTTTGAATGAAGGCCTATCTCAGTATCTATGGAGAATCTCACTGCATCTATTGTGTATAAGATTTGCAAACTGAAAAGTCTCCCTGGCCTTACTAGGTTCTAATTGCTCTTGATTCATGTTTTTATCCAGGGGAGAGAGTTACAGGAATATTTCTGTTAAGAAAAAACTGAAATGAAAGAGGCATTCCAAAAGTCACCATACCATATCTTCCTGAATTAATTTGTTGCAGAAGTTTAATCTCTTCTGTCATCAGGACTCAGGATGGGCTATATTGCATTTTTTAAAAAGAAGAAAGGAAAATGGTAGAAATCAGATTAGTAACAAAATAAAACTCTCAATATTATCCCAAACCAAACTCCACAGGGCTAATTTAGCCTCAGCTGTGGGACGCCAGCAGAACTAGGAAAGTCTTCAAACATTTCTTGGATTGGAGGAATCAAGCATCCACCAGATTAGATTTCATGACCAGAATATTTGAATGTCTCCCTGCAGCAGTTTCTCTGTGAGGAAGGCAGGGCCAAGCAGCAGACATTCCATGCTAGAATTGAATGGTACCTGACTTGCATTGTCCTTCTTTTAAAAATAGGCTTCTTAGTAAATATATATTGCAAAGAGTAAGTTAGTAATTTTATTAAAAATTACAATTACAACAGTAAAAACTAATATAAACTAAAAAAAGAAAAGAAAAAAAATAGAAGGTACAGAAAAGAAAGGAAAAAAATACAAAAAATAGAAAGAGATAGGAAAAAAAAGAAAAAATAAGAATATAGTAAAGAAAAAGAAAAGAAATACATAAAGAAGTGACTTCCCCCTTCATCACAACAAGTATAAACAATTTTAGTAACTTATCACCTTCTCTAAAAATACAACAAATGATCTCTTCTTCCCATATCCCGTCTCTTATCTATAAAAAAAAATCCATAAACCTCGTCATTTCAGTCCTGATGTCAGCAAAAATCCATTAAGGCTTACCAGAGATAACAACATTTCTATTTTACCCTTGATCAAATAAACCAACTTTATATTTTTTTACTTCCAACAATCTTGATCTTTAGTCCCTTCAAATAATGTCACAGAACTTGATTTCTTTTCATTTTTTCTTTGTCCCTCCTCACAAAATTCTTCAAACCGTTAACAAGCCTCTTTTGTAAATCTAATTTAAGGAAATTATCCAGATCACTCTCTTGGTTTGTTATTTGTATATCCCTTTTAATTATTAAGACATCAGCCAGTTTCTTTTGTATGTCCAGTGTGACATCTTCTCCCATATCATTCTTGTAACCTGTCATTTTTAAACCCACTTTCAAATCAGTGATCTTGTCAGGTAAAACTTGTTCCTCTTCCATAACATCTTTTGAACACAGTCTTATCCATAGAGGCAGATACTCTTAAAATTAACTTCTGGGTCCATTGTTCAAAAATATCCTTCAATATGTCCAATGTTAAAATACTTTGCTTCATATTTTGCTGTAAGCTGCGTTTGCATGTTCTTCTCCTTTAATTATAATCTTTAGTTCCCTCTAGTTCCCTTATTATGTCTTATTATATTAAGTCTTATTGTGTGTTTTTTTTAAATTCAAAACAAAAGCATTTTCCCACAGGAAGGATTCTTTATAATTAATTCCAAAATCTT